TTCTTTAAATGTCTATTAGGTTTGCTTGGTCCAGGTCTGAGTTCAAGTCCTGGATATCCTTGTTAATTTTCTGTCTGGTTGATCTGCCTAATATTGACAATGGGGTGTTAAAGTCTCCCACTATAATTGTGTGGGAGTCTAAGTCTCTTTGTAAGTCATTAAGAACTTGCCTTATGTATCTGTGTGCTCCTGTATTGGGTGCGTATTTATTTAGGATCATTATCTCTTCTTGTTGCATTGATCCTTTTACCATTATGTAATGTCCTTCTTTGTCTCTTTTGATCTTTGTTGCTTTAAAGTCTAATTTATCAGAGATGAGAATTGCAACTCCTGCTTTTTTTTGCTCTCCATTTGCTTGGTAAATCTTCCTCCATCCCTTTATTTGGAGCCTTTGTGTATCCTTCCATGTGAGATGGGTTTCCTGGATGCAGCACACCGATGGGTTTTGGCTTTTTATCCAATTTGCCAGTCTGTGTCTTTTGATTGGGGCATTTAGTCCATTTACATTTAGGGTTAATATTGTTATGTGTGAATTTGAGACTGCCATTTTGGTGCTACCTGGCTGTTTTGCCCTTTAGTTGATGCAGATTCATCATTCTGTTGATTCTCTTTACCTTTTGGCATGTTTTTGGAGTGGCTGGTACTTGTTGTTCCTTTATATGTGTAGAGCCTCTTTCAGGAGATCTTGTAAAGCTGGCCTGGTGGTGACGAAATCTTTGAGTACTTGCATGTTCACAAAGGATTTTATTTTTCTTTCACTTATGAAGCTTAGTTTGGCTGGATTGGAGATTCTGGGTTGAAAGTTCTTTTCTTTAAGGATGTTGAATATTGGCCCCCACTCTCTTCTGGCTTGTAGGGTTTCTGCTGAGAGATCTGCTGTGAGTCTGATGGGCTTCCCTTTGTAGGTAACCCGACCTTTCTCTCTGGCTGCCCTTAGTATTTTCTCCTTCATTTCAACCCTGGTGAATCTGACGATTATGTGCCTTGGGGTTGCTCTTCTTGAGGAATATCTTTGTGGTGTTCTCTGTATTTCCTGGACTTGAATATTGGCCTGCCTTGCTAGGTTGGGGAAGTTTTCCTGGATAATATCCTGAAGAGTATTTTCCAGCTTGGATTCATTCTCTTCGTCGCATTCAGGTACACCTATCAAACGTAGATTAGGTCTTTTCACATAGTCCCACATTTCTTGGAGACTTTGTTCATTGCTTTTTACCCTTTTTTCTCCATTCTTGCCTTCCCATTTTATTTCATTGAGTTGATCTTCAACCTCTGATATCCTTTCTTCTGCTTGATCAATTCGGCTGTTGAAACTTGTGCATGCTTTGCAAAGTTCCCGTGTTATGTTTTTCGGCTCCATCAATTCACTTATATTCCTTTCTATTTTGTCCATTCTCATTAGCATTTCGTCAAATCTTTTTTCTAGGTTCTTTGTTTCTTTGCATTGGGTTAGAACATGTTCTTTTAGTTCACAGAAGTTTCTTACTACCCACCTTCTGATGTCTGATTCTGTCATTTCATCACACTCGTTCTCCATCAAACCTTGTTCCCTTGCTGGTGAGGAGTTGTGATCCCTTGCAGGGGGAGAGGTGTTCTGGTTTTGGGTGGTTTCATCCTTTTTGCGCCGGTTTCTTCCTATGTTTATGGATTTATCCACCTGTCGTCTTTGTAGTTGCTGGCTTTCAGATTGTGTCTCTGAGTGGATGTTCTGTTTGTTGATGATGAGGTTATTTCTGTTTCTTAGTTTTCCTTCTAACAGCCTGGCCCCTCTGCTGTAGGTCTGCTGAGGTCCACTCCAGGCCCTGCTTGCCTGGGGATCAACTGCAGCAGCTGCAGGACCATAAAGGTTGTTACCGGTTTTCTTCTTCTGCTATCTTTGTCACAGAAGGATACCCGCCAAGTGTCAGTTTGATCTCTCCTTTATCAAGTGGCTCTTTGGATATACAGGCGTCAGGGAGCTGCTTGAGGAGACAGTCTGTTCTTTATAGGAGCTCAAATGCTGAGCTGTGAGCTCTGTTGTTCATTCAGAGCTGCTGGGCACGTACCTTTAGGTCTGCTGCTGCAGAACTCATAAACCACTTTTTGTTCCCAGGTGCTCTGTCCCAAGGATTTAGGGTTTTATTTATGAGTTTCCATTTTGCTGCTGCCTTTTTTTTTTCCTTCAGAGCTGCCCTGCCCAGCAAGGAGGCAGCCTAGTCACTGTCTGCCTGTAGAGGCTTTGCTGAGCTGCTGTGGGCTCCACCCAGCTGCTGAGTGAACTTCCCTGCAGTCCTGTTTGTATGGGTGTAGTTAGAACTGCCTCAGCAATGGTGGCCAAACTCTGTATTGGCGCACTCTCTCTGTACTGGCGGGTTGCCTTGGCAACGGCGGGGTGCCTCAGCATTGGCTGACTACCTCTGTACTGTTGGAGTGCCTCGGTAATGGTGGACGCCCCTCCCTCACAGAGCTGGACCGTCCCAGGTTCAGCTGCACTTGCTGTGAAACTCTCAATCCAGAGAGTTTCTGGTGGCTGTTCTTTTTTGGAGGTGGGACCATATGAGCCTGATCACCTGGCTCCCTGCCTCAGAGCCCCTTATTTTTTTTTTAAGTTTGTGTTCCAGTTGCTTGTTGAAGAGGCACTGGGATCTGTTTGTTTTCCCATGTGGCAACTCACTGCACTGGCTTAAACAGCGGCACTGAGATTCATGGCGCTTTTTTTGCCCTGGAATCTACTGTCCTGGTTCCCTGTTCAGTCCCCTTTTTAAACAGATGAATGGACAACTTCCTGGGGATCCAATCCCCAGCCAAAAGGGCACCTGGACCAGTGTGTTTTGTACGGAGAACCGCTGCATTGGGGCGGGGCAAAGCAGCCGTGCAGGCCAACACAGCCTTGCTGGTCGAAACAGCAGCGCTGGCCGAAACAGCTGTGCTGGTGACCCATGGGGCTCCTCCACCTGGGAATTTCCTAGTCTGTGGGCAGTAAAAATGCAGCGTCCACTCACCCTCTGTGCTTTCACTAGGAGCTGCAATCCTGAGCTGTTCCTAAATGGCCATCTTGGATCGATCCCGTCTATTCATTTTTTTCTTGATTAAACAATTGAAAATCATGTGTGCATGCAACTGGTCTAAACAGATCATTTATCTAAAATCAGCATTTTTCTGAAGGGACTAAATGAAATGAAAAAAATGTGGATGATTAGAAAATACACACACACACACACACAGGCCATATATTAACATTAAAATAGAGCCTTATATTGATTTTTTAAGTCAGTAAGCTAATTCAAATATAATCCTATTGTTATACAGTACTGTGTTGATGGAAAATAACATATACCTCTGTGACTAACCCGTAAAGGAGATTAAAATGACAGTTATTGGACTTTAAATATTGTAATCCATTAATGAAGAGAGAAAGAAGGTTTCTGCTATACTAAACCTTTCGTAAAAAAAAAAAAGAATAGAATATCACTTAATGGCTGATGGTTTGGCTGTGACCCCACCTTAATCTCATTTTGAATTGTAGTTCCCATAATCCCCACATGTCATGGGAGGGACCCGATATGTCATGGGAGGGACCCACCCAGAGGTAATTTTATCATTTTATGATAGTGAGTGAGTTCTCATGAGAACTGATAGTTTTATAAAAGTCTTTTCCCCATTTTGCTCGATGCTTCTCCTTGCTGCTGCCATGTGAAGAAGGACATGCTTGCTTTCCCTTCTTCCATAATTGTAAGTTTCCTGAGGCTTCTCCAGATATTGTGAACTGTGACTCAATTAAGCCTCTTTTCTTTATAAATTACCCAGCCTCGGGCATGTTTTTATTAGCAACATGAGAACAGGCTAATATAATGGCCAATTTCTGTTTTTATTGAAAATTCACTTTTATCTATTTATGGAGTATTTGATTCCAACCCATTTTACATGAATTGTTTGTTGTTGCAGATGTAATAGATGAAGTGAATGTATGAATAACTTTAGATTTGTAAGCAGACAGATTAGTACAGTATAAATTTTCCCAATAGGCAGATTTTTTGTGTTGAGCACCATGTGAAGTAGAAGCTTTCAGGACTTTCTGGAGATACTTAATGGCATTAAAAATATCATTCTCTTATGGCCTACACATTTTCAATCCATAATGCATGTTTATACCCAATTATGCATGTTTCTCTTAGAAAGATATGATAGTAATTGATTGGCGATCTCTTAAAGTTATTTAGCAATAATCTTTTATTATCTGATTTCAAAGTTGGTGTGTGCATTCCATTTCCTAATAGAATCAACAGTATTTACTCTGTGTATTTGTCTTTATTCTTGTTATATACTCTTTTAATTTTAGTTCAATCTGTTATTATTTACACCACATCATTGTGTATTATTTATGCCATATTATGTATAAGATATATATTCAAAGCAGGGTGGGTGACCTTTATGCCTAAATTTATTTCTTTATAACGTTCCCCTGGATTTTATAGATTAAAAAAAGCACCTGTAATGCAAATATTTCCTTGTAATGAATTACACACTAATCTACTTTATTTCATGATAGTAAGTTTAGCTTATTTGACATCTCAATAACAGGCAATAGGGAATTAAGAAAATAGAAATAAACATTGAAGATACAAGAAGAAGGAAGTTGGATGGTTGGGAAAGTTCTAAGGTTTTGTGTCCTAATCTCTGAGGGCTGGCTCAGCAGAGGAAGCATAACAGTGAGCCTTTGACAGCACAGGGACAGAAAGATGTGAGACTGAGAAAGAAGATATCAAAAGAGAAAATTTGAGTGATAGCAGACCCCAGAGGCAAACATTGACCTGGTAACCCATTACAATTCAACCCTGACTTCTACCTCTGTAATAATCTCACTTTCTCAAAAAACTTTCTTCTTCTACACTGAATATAACATCAGCAAGGATCAGAGAAAAAGTAGTTGGATGTAGTGGCTGTGGTCAGGTAAAATACCCACAAGAATTTTAGTGAAGCATGCTGTACACTAGATTTACATTCCCATTTCTTCTGTTTCTCAGGTTTTCTGAACCAGATGAATAACTCAAGTCACTCTGTTCTTCAGCCTTCATTCCAAGGATGCATGCAGCTCATTCAAGTGGATGATCAACTTGTAAATTTATACGAAGTGGCACAAAGGAAGCCGGGAAGTTTTGCGAATGTCAGCATTGACATGTGTGCGATCATAGACAGGTAAATGATTTTTCCATCCTACCTCACATTGTCCAAACTTTTCAAACCTATGTTTCTGTTGTGAGACCAGTGAAGGAGCCAAAAGAAAAAATAAAAATTAAAGAAACACAGGTAAGGTGGAAAAAAAATATATATATATATATGTGTGTGTGTGTGTGTGTGTGTGTATATGAATATGATAAAACGCATTGTGGTGTTGCATTTGTTCAACAGCCTTCAATCAGAGAATCTGAGCTTTAAACAAGTAGTTTTGTAAGCAACAGCAGTATGGCAGAGAAACTCTTAGAGTTGATTTTTAGTTTTGCTTTCTATGTCTACAAGCAGAAATGTCCATTCTCTTTCTGTCTCAATCATGACTTGGCGTCAGCATGTTCCCTCCAAAACCCACTTCTGAAGTAAAAGGAATATTACAAAACTGTCAGTTCGCAATATGGATATTTATGAAGCAGGATATTGAGAGTAACTGGTTCAGCTTACAAAATACACATATTAAAATATGACAAAATCAAATCTTTATTGGTTTTGCAAATCTGGGAGGAATTTTTAATAAAAACTTTTATTGTATTCTCACACAGTGAAAAGATGCAACTTTTATGTGAAATATTGTGATTGTACTGCATATGCTGCTTTAACATACTTCTAGAAAGTGCCTTTCATTCCACTATGAAAAAGTTTGATTTTGAGATGTTTTGTGTCTAAACAGACCATATATGGTTTGACATTAACCTAGTGAATTTATGTGATTTTCTAAACTACATTTAAATCTTTTGTGGAAGAACTATCGTATTCTGAAAACTCATTTTACTAATTTTGTGTTTTGGGAAGATAAAAGCTCTTTTTTATTTTTTTTCTCATTACCTCAGTTGTCCAAGTAGGGGAAAGTTCTTAAATTTTGAAATAAGATATTAATCCTATCTCACTTCTGCCCACAACAAAATGTAAACCCTAAGTCTTTAACAAATTTATTTTATTCAAGAGGAAATACTTTAAGAAGTCACTCAATAATGAATTTTACAAACATATAAAATAATCTATTTTGAAGTAATTTTGCTTCCATATAATCTGAATAAGATGGCATTCCTGCGAATGGTACATTACAATTTGTGATGGCTATAAGGTAAAACTTTTATAAAGGCTTTACATGTTGTAATGAGACTTTATGAAAAAGTATGCTGCTTATTTATATTCATGTATGCAAGTACTGATCTTAGTAGCCTAAACGGTTTATATCTAAATAGAATAGTGAACAATTTTAATGGAAATAGACTCCTAATTTTTGAGCCATTAATAATATATCAGCTATTATTTCTGCCTAGAGCAAGTGGCAGCAATAATCAGAAAAGCTGAGATGAATGTTTTAGAGATCATTTGTTCTGATTTTAGATAATTACATATTATAATTGTTTTATACAAAAAAATTATTCATAATAGCTGTGGAGTTTTTTAGCATCTACTCTTTTTTTTCAGATCAGTAACTGTGATGATACAATAATGTCATTACCTCTTTCAGCTTTGTAAATGGGCTGGATAATGTGTTACGCTTTCTCTCCAAACATCATGTTCCTGGACATTATATATAGTTTGCTACTAAAGAATGAAGGGTGATGTGTTGAGACATTAATGTTTTCCTCTAATGGAGACAGGAGTTAAATTGGCCCCAAAAGAATGAATGAGATTTTGGTAAATGAAGAAAATGTAAGATGATACTTCTGGTGGGAAGTCCAACACAAGGGAAGGTATAGAAAAGAGAATACATATTTCGATTTTTCGCAGATACAAAGATACACAAAATATTTTTTTTGCCAAAATGGGTCAGGCCTAATATTCATCTTGCCAAGTTTCCTGTAGCTAAAAGAACAAAGTTCACACCTTTCTTATTCTTTAGGATGACAAATGAGAGGATTAGCTGCAGGGAAGTAGTCACCTGTGACACATCTCCATGCATTTTCTAAACCCATTATGGAACCTATTTTTAGCTTATCCTGTTTTTTAAGGCAACAACATCTGTACATGAAATAGCAATGTGTGAAACAGCAGATTCCTTTAGTCACCTAAAATGTTCCCCGTTCAAAATCTTAAGCATGGAGTGTTGTACTTTCATAGGTGTGAGACAGGACTATTTTTACTTTACTTAAACCACTGAAGAGTGTATTGACAATATCACCGTTCATCTGTAACTTTTCAGGTAAAAGTACCAGTGGTTTTAATTTGTCCTCATAGAGCAGCAATGTATCCAGATAACCCTTTAACAATGCACCCACCCCTAGCACATCTCTGCTTGATTCTTTCTCCTCACTAAGACTGCTGCTTATCTACAACTTTCTTTTCAGATTACCCAAATTCTCCCAAAGGAAACCTACACTGGTTCTTTCTTACTTTTCTCCTTCCCAGTTCCAGCTTGATTGATTTGAGAGTTATTTTTAAAAGAGGGAGAAAAGAAGTATAAATAAGAACATGGGGTTAAAAGAAATAGAAGAGCTACACAAGCCTGACTTTCATAGAACATTTGGAGATAATAGTCACAGCTGCAGTGATTTGATGAGCAGAACTTAGGGAAACAGTTAGGGGAAGATGGTTCTGAAGGAGTATTTCTGTGTGTTGTATTGGAATACCCTATGATTTGAACTTTCTTTATTGCTCTGTGTGTAGATTTGCATGTGGCTTGTTTTGCTCACATGTTTATTTTCTGAACACATCTTTGAATCAAGGAAAGTGCAAGCATGACAAGCTATAGAATTATGCATTCGATATTTATTTTCTGAGTGCATTCTAGATGTCAAGCTATTCTAGGAACTTGGAATAAATCCTTGAATAGGAAAGATAAAGAGGATTGAAAATTCTAAGGTCACATGGTGGAGGAAGGGGAGGACAGATGACAAACTATAATTAAAAAGTAAACTAGTAAGTGAGAAGGAAAAAAATTATGGGTAAAATTACTAAAACAAAGTAAAGAGGACTGGATGTCAGTAGATCAAGGTGTTGATTTGTAGTTTAAATAGGTTGATCAGGATAAGCCTCCATTGAAAATATTAGTGCAAGACTTGAAAGAGGTAACTGAATGTACTAACGCAGGGAAAGAACATTTGATCCAGAGAGCACAGACAACAAAAGAAGCATTTGCGTGATCCAGGATCAGTATGGAAGCCAGGGTGGCAAGTTTGAGAGGTCAAGAATAATTGAAGGAATAGAGAGCAGAACAAGCCCTGCAGACTTGCAGGTTATTGTAAGGGTGTGGCCTTTATTTGGAAGGAATACAGGAGCCATTTGTAGCATTCTGAATAGAGCAACATGATGTAGCTCACATCTTAAGAGGATGAATCTGGGCTGTGGGAGCAAGAAAGCTAGAAGCAGGAGGCTAACTAAAATGATGCCATTGTAATCCAGGTGACAGATGCATGTAGCCTAGACCACGGTAGCAAGATGAAGTAATGAGACTTTGCTATTGCCTCATTTTTACAACTGGAAGTAGTGAATATATTTTGAATATATTCTGAATTTCTGAATATATTTTGGAGGCAGAGTCAGTAGAGTTCCTTGACAAATTAGATATGGAATGTGAGAGAAATAGAGGAAATGGGATAAATCCAAATGATTCGGTAAGAGCAGCAGGAAGAAAGGAGATGCCATCTCCCCAGATTGAGAAGGCTAGTCATAGAAAAGATTAGTCAAGGGGGCTAAAGAAGAAGTAAGTCAGAAATTCAGTGTTGGACATGAGTTGAAATGTCTGCTGGACATCTAAGTAGAAACGTCAAGAAGACGGTTGGATATATGTGTGTAACAAGCCTGCATCTGCAGGTTACACAATAAACCTTTGTGTCTGACAGAAGCTGTTTTGTGCAACTATTGAGGGTCTCTGGTATCTTTAGCTACATTTTGTAAGCAGTCATAGAACTGGAAAGGACAGTGGTGGATAATGGGCAGGAAGTGCCTTCTAACAATGGAAGCTGCTAGCTTGAGTCCCTCAGTGATATTCCACTCTTACAGAGGCAGATTGTCATCAAAACTTCAGCTACTAAAACATTCTCTGAGAAAGGTAAAATACCCAGAGATAACACTTTTGTTTCTCTTTGCATTGTTGCTTTCTTTTATTCATTCCTAGAATCCTTACATTATGACGGCTTGTGGCAAACATTTTGAGATGCCTTATTTAGCTCTTCTTAATCTTTTTCTCTCCAGCCTCCTTTCAGGTGTGAAAACCTGAGAGCTCAAACCTTCAGAAACACTCTTTTAGCGAAAGTTAGGTTCATTCACCTCCTCCCTCAAGAGAGAATCATGAGGAGAACCATAGGACATTTCAAACTGGGGGTGGGGATGGGGAGAGAAGGACACTGGGGAGAGTCAGGGAGGGTACAAGGACTGGAATGAATCATTTCCTGCAGGTATTGGTTAGAATTTCTAAACTAGGAGAGTTGCTACAACAGAGATTGGTCTTAGAACTTGTGAATTGGTGTAGAGCTATTGTTTGATTTGTTTTTCTGTGGTAGTAGCCAGGATGCATGGGTAAGAAGAAGCAGATGTTAACATATTTTAAGCTTAATTAGGTGGTGATCATGCTTGGTTTGACAATTTTTTTCTCTTTCGTGAGTAATAGTTAAGTCCATTTTGCATTTGTGGTTTCTATTTCAATCCTAAGAGCACTCTTCAGAGCTCAGCTGCTAGGGGAATATTTTTTTTTTACCTTATGCTAGGCAGAAGCAGAGATGAGACAGCGTCCTGGCTGCTGAGAGCCAAGCAGAAGTCAGCTGTGGTGTTCTTGGGAAAGCTTTTTTCTCCTGACACAGTTGCCTCTTGCTCTCCACCATCCTTGGTTAGATGTAGACCTTATTGCCTAGAGCTGTAGGGTCAAGAAAACCATAGATAAAGCAGCCACTGATACTAATTTGTATGTGAAAAACACCAACTATGATTTATTTCAGTAATTATAAGTTTTACTCTTCTTGGAGCCAGAGCACCTGCCCTTTCCCTAGCCTCCACTTCTAAAATTAACCAGTACCATCATT